GTTCAGTCCAACCTAAAAAAATAGTCTGGTCTTTTTAATTTTTTTGATCCTGAAAGACCAGTGATTATACTGACTGAACAAGACTGAGACCATCTCAAATTAAATTATACTAAACAGGATTGGAAGACTTTTGCACATACAGAGTCCCAGACGCTCATAGATCCCACCAACCTCTCGTATTAATTTTCACAATATGATCCGGATGATTTGACGAGAGATGCAACTTTCAATCACTATCACATCTTTTCAACTGCACCATATGGTCAGTTTTTGTCCTTCGTTCACCTCGTCTGCGGTGCGCCTTTCCCATTCAGAAGTTATATCATTTCAATCTTCACTAATTTGGCAAAAAAAAAAAAAAACCTTCATTAAAAAAAAAAAAGCACCAGTCTCAACATTTCTTGAAATTCGATCACCTTCTTTTCCTTTCTAGTTTGTTAATGTTTAACTTCAAATATTAACTTGTTAAAATTTAACCTTATACAATTTCAATAAAAATTTTAATTTGAACAGTTAAGACTTCTACTGAAAATATTAAAAAAAATGAGATAAAGAATTTAAAATAGGAGTTGAACTTAATATAATAAGCAAGTTTTTCATAATATAATAAATTAATATTTAAATTCGTGTTAAAAAATACTTATTTTTAACTCCCAACCATATCTAAAATAACAGTACCTCTTATAAGTGAACAATTGTGCTAAATCAATAAGATAACAAAATATTTTATAAAATACTTTTTGTTAGAATTTTAATATTTTTAATATAGTTCTAAACTATTTAAACAAAAATTTATATATAAATTATTTAGGTTAAATTTTGATGACTTAAATTTATTTTTATATTAAATCTTAAAGTAATAATTTTATAATATTTATTTATAATAATAATATTATTATTATTATTAATATTTTATTATTATTATTATTATTATTATTATTATTATTATTTGTGGTTTAAAAAAAGAAGAAAGTTAAAACTTACAATAGCATTGAGTTGGTGCTGACTGCTGAGCACGACGACCGCCGAAACTGAATCCAGAAATATGCGTGAGATTTATTTGGAACTTGTCTTCAAGGTTCATACTTTCTTTTGTCTTTGTGTAGTGTTTACATGATTGAATTTGAGTTTACATATTTTTTTTAATGGTTTTGTTTAAATTAAAAAAAAGTGAGAATAAAATCTTTATAAATTATATAAATAATAATATAATCACTTAAAATATTATAATTTTATTAAAGCCATGAAAACTTTTATATTAATAAATTTTAAAGTAAAAAAATATTTTATTTTGTTAAAATATAACAAGCTTCAGTTATAATTTTTATTTAAAAAATAATAAATTTTATTATATGAATCACAAAAATTAAATGAGGGATTATAACTTGTCAAAATATAGTTTCTGTTGTTAGAAAAAAGATTCATTCAAAACTTTTATTTAAAGAATAATAATTTTTATTTTGTAAATTAAATGAGTTAAATAAAAAATAATAACTTGGCGAATGTAATTTATATTATTAAAAAGTAATTTTTTAAAAATAATAAATTTTAATTACAACTTTTATTTAAAAAATAATAACTTTTATTTAACAAATTATAAATATTTAATAATAAATTACAATTTATTATTAAAAATAAAATTAATATTTTTAGTTTAAAATTCATTCATATAGAGGTATCCAAAAAATTCAGTAAAATTATAATATTTTAAAAAATTAAATTATTTTTATATGAATTGAGAAATATATGATTTTTTTTAAAATATTCAAACAATTCAATACAGTACTAGAAAATGCCAGCTACTGCCACAGACTATCCTGACAGCTTATCAAATTTTCTCGACTTTGAGCTTTAACTTCTCCTGCCCGTTTTACCTGACTTCAATAGCCTTATCGATCGTGGCTCATGTTACAATGTAAAAGAAATATTTCATGATAGGAAAAAAAATGCTCACAATAAAATGGTGAGAATGCCTTTTCATTAGAAGATATTTAATGACATCAAAATAAATGTTTACGTACAGATTTTTGAGAAATTTTGATGAAAAATTACATGCAACTAAAATTATATATTATAAAATTATATATATTAAAATTTAAAAGTAAGTTTAACAAGATTTGAAAGATGCTATTTGGAGTATAACAATTCCTGCAAGGAAAGTAAAAGTATAGTTTTTAATATAATTTAATATATTTATTGGTCATATTAAAATAAAAGAGTTTAAATTGAACCCCTTATATTACACATAATCATGTGATATTTGTTTAAGGGACAAGATTTTTCATAACATTGTACAACTATATACATAGCGGGGGCATCACACTTAAAAGTTATTTTGGATTGGATGCCCAATATGCGGAAAAATTTTAAAAGTGGTACATATAATTATTTAAATATTGAATTGGACGTGCCGAGAATTTTTTTTTTTAAGAATCTCACATATTATTCTCCTATAACACTTATATACTTATTTTAATATATTTTATATATTTTTATTTAATTAAATTAAGATATGTAAATTTTTAATTTATAAAAATATTGATGTCTTAATTTATTTTAAAACAAACAACTTATAACTCTATAAGTTTTTTTTCCCCTTGTTTGTACACACATAGAATCAGTAGCTTAGTCTCTTGTTTGATATGCAATACCTTTGTTAAAAAATATAAATATTTTTTAAAAAGTTAGATATTAAAAAATATAAACTGAGTAGAGATTACACCGTGTGAACTTTTATTAAAACTAACCTTTGACTAAACTAGTGTGAACTTCCACCCACGGTGCTAATGCCAATTCAACATGCATATGCAATCTACTCATTCATGTTCTAATAACCAACATACTTTTAGTGAAAGAACTTATATAACCACAGCTCATGTCATTGCAAATAAATTAGGTTCTCTACTACATCATATAAACATATACAAATTAAGTATGCTTTCTAGTATAACATCAACAGCCATTCATAGCTAATCCAAGCCTATTACTCATAGTACAATCTTCACATATTCAATATCAATACATATATCAATCCAATACCATAATTACGCATATCATTAATTGAACAACATTCTCAAGATTACATTATCATAGCAAGTCCATGCCAATCGCCCCCTATCATTAATTACGTGTTAAAATAATCATAATTGCAAACAAAATTGTATGAAATAATAAGATTTTTAGTTACCTCGACTCTTGAATTTACTACCCTAAAAGTGTAACTTTAAATTTTAGAGGGAGTTTCCCACTAACTCAACCTCAAGAGTATTGTGCTCTGTGCATAGAGTCATAAAAACAATATTAATGATTAATTATCATTAATTACCTCTTAATCACAATTAAGGCTTAATTTGTCACTAAGAGTAATTAAGCCTGTCTAATTCTAAAACTAATTTTCCTTAATTTATTTAACCTTCATTAAATTTAATAGTCATTGCCAATGCTTCCAATCAGCTTAAACTTAATTTTTTAATATTAGGTTAAATCTTTAACCTCTCATTAAGGTATTTAAAGCTATCATTAATCAAAATTAAGGTATAGGAGCATCAAGTAGCATTAGTGAACCTCATTTAAGTCCTAGGAGTGGTTGTAACACTACCCTTAATTCAGACCTCAACTACCTCTTGCTATAAATGTGGAAAACAAAAGAGGTGGAAGAAGGAGGGATGGAGCTTACCTAAGATTGTAGGAGCCCCAAGACGTTTTAAAATTGTCCACAAACTTGAAATTTTAGTAAAGCAGCCTTAAACCGCTAGACAAAACTGTCAAACCCAACTCTTTTGCCTTTTTTTTAACCTGAATTGCAGAATCAATTTTAAAATTCTGGCACACTCACCATGACAAGGAGTATTGTTCAACATGGCAAACAGCCCAAAACGGATAATTTTCCTAAAACCTAAAAATCTGGGCCTAATTTGATCCCACAGATCCTAAAGTCCCATTTTAAACATTTAAGGGGCCCAATAGGCCTAAATGACTGTTCTAGCCCAAATACTATCTCCTAATTAACCCAAATAATTAATTCAACCCTCTAATTAATTAATAAATTAATTTAATTCTTAAATAAATTTCAAGATGTTATATATGTAAATCTTTTAGCAGCTCATTAGTTATCTCTCTCTTGAAAAAGGACCTTACATCTATTCTTTCAAATATTCCAACAAATGCACATAAATAAAATGTTCCAAGGCACACTCTTTTGTGGAGAAGTTGCGCGCTTGTTATTTCATAGTCCAAGCTAGTTACTCACACCTATCTAAGTTGATACATCAAAACCTTTTCATGTTGTATTATCTGCACCTATCTAAGCTGATACAACAAAACATTTTCATGTTATATTATCTTTTGTCAATCATTTGCCTGCTTTGACTCCCTAATTAATCATTTGCTTGCATGACTCCCTAATGTTTCATTGATGAGCATATAACCTATGGAGGTTTCTTTTTGGGTTAATTTTAAAACTCGTGAAATATAAAAAAAAATCTTATTCATTTGGTTATTTTTTCCCTTAAACCGTTTTAATTTTTAATTTTTTTGATAAAATTTATCTAATCCCTTCTCACATATTGAGCGTGGTTTTTATTTGCAACTTGTAAATTTGTTAAAAAAATTATTTTTTAACAGTAATTTTAATTCAAAGGCAATCCAAAAGCACAATCTTGCAAATTAGAAGTCGAAGATTCCATCTTAAAATGAATTTCCAAAGCACATTAAACGACTTTAAATTTTTTTCCCTTGTTCACAACAAAACACACGACGCAAAAATTGTTATGAATATAAGCATTATGTGTAGCCATCATCCTATATCACATTGATACGAATATTCATCTTTTTCATATTACTTCACATCCTCACATAAAATCGATATCTTCTTTATAATACGTTGTTGCATAATTAATTCATTATAATTGTTGAGACCTCTGAGCTGTCGTATATTTTTATAAGTTGCCATCCAAGATTACAAAACGCATTCGTTTCTGTCAACTCCCTGACTACTCTGATCACTCCTCTCCCCGTGAGTGTGGATTCTGAATCCCTCATTCCCTCCGGCAGGCAGATGGCGACTGGGGCCGACAAACCCTTTTTGCCATTCGAGATTATCATCAACATTCTCAAAAGGTTTCCTGTCAAATCTATCGTTCGATTGCAATGTGTGTGTAAAGATTGGAAAAATCTCTTCAAAACCCCATCTTTCATCGCTGAACACTTCCACCACTCTGATCATGATAACCCTTTCCTTCTTCTCCTCGAATGCAACTGTGAACATATGCGTTCGTCCGTGCGCTTGCTTAATCATAAGATGGAAACCGTTGATGTTTTGAGCATACCCACTTTCGATTCTTTCAGACGCAGTTGGACAATCATTGGTTCCTGCAATGGCTTGCTTTGCGTGGAACTCTATCCTAATGATGAAGGCAAGTTTCCTAGTTCGCTTTGGTTGTGGAACCCAATGCTTAGAGAGGTCAGAGAAGTACCCAACACACTGAATGACTATTGGCACGTCTGCACGTTTGGATTTGGGTTCAGTTCCGTCGTTAATGATTACAAGATAGTGAGATTTTATAATCAAGAGTTGCATGAAAAGAAGGAAGATCAAGTCCATCATTTCACCAGGCTTAATCGAGTGGAAGTCTTTTCATTAAGCACAGATTCGTGGAAGGAACGAGAATTGAGAGCTTTAAATGATACTTTAAATGGTACAAGTGTTCTATCTCCTGCTGTCAATGTTAATGGAACTTTGATTTGGCAAGGAAGGAATCATCGTTTTACCACGGTAGTTTCTTTCGACAAAACAACGGAAGTGTTTTTATTGTTTTTATTTGCACCAATCCCAACTGAAAACGGTCTTTATCCACTTGACTTTGGTGTGTGCGAGAACAAACTTGAGGGTCACTTTGTGATTCAAGAGAAATCTGGATCTCATTTCATCGGTGTATCATCGGTGTATGGGTGATGGAGGAGGTTGCTTGTGAATCTGGGAAGAGTTGGAGTGTTACTCAGAAATATAGGACCGGACCACTGTCATTTTCTTTAAATCCTCTATGTATTTGGATGAATGAAATAGTCTGCCGTGACGAGAAATTTGGGACTTTGTTGGACGGTGACCCAAGGCGCATTCTTCATCTGTTCAATGTCATTACTAATGAAGGGAGGAAGTTCAACTGTTCAGCTACTTGTGACCATTGTGATGTTTTCAACTATGAGAAGAGCCTTGTGTCTGTCTGGAACGCCCAGGTTGAATAGCATTGCTCTCAAATAGAATCATTTCTTCATTGCAAATTTCTGTTGTCTCTGTAAATTTGGTGGAAATTAATCCACGAAACCTTTTAACATTTTGGTTCTATCTAACTGTCTATAATCCTTGATGTTCCTTGGATATGTGATCTGGAATGGAGAAACTCAGTTAAGTACTAGTTATTGCAATCTTTAATTTAGCTTTCTATGTCATCATATGTTCAATTATCATATGTGAATATAAAGTCTAGTTGCTGCTATATTTATATATTTTTGGTTTTGTTGGCCACTTATTATGCTAAGGGGGAAGGAAAGGCTAACATGGCAGATTAAAGCTTCTTGCTTTGTCATTTTTTAATCTAAATCAAGTGGTGTGATAGGTTCAATACACAGCACAAGAGAGTAAACTATTTCATTTATTGCTCTGTGTTTTGATCCACGATGCCGCTGCTGGATCTGAACATTCACTTTTGCTCTGTAATTAGCAATTGGGGGGTGGGGTTCAGATATGTACCTAAAACTATTTTTTTTTTTTTTTTGTGTCTTATGGTTTAAACTGATACTAGTATTAACCTTGTTATTCACATTGCCATAGGATTACTGTGTATATGAGAACCAAGATGCAATTTTTGATTATGCTATGTCTGATTATCACTTTGTAATTGGAAATTTTGTTATTTTTCTATACTTGATTTATGGATGATTGAGGAAGAAACCTTGTGATTGCCAATTTCAGGTAAGTTATATATACATTGAATATTAAGATGAATGGAACAGCCTGTGGGGATGAAGTTTTAGATTAATTGGTGCAAGTGAAAGGAAACAGTGAAATGGAGCATCACTTGGAAACTTCCTATATCTGTTCAATTTTACTACAAATAAATTGAAGTAGTGCAGTTCAATCATGCTGAGAGAGCCTTGTTTCAGTTGGCATAATCTGTATAGAATAACCTTCATGTGAAATTCTTGTCTTTTTTCCATTACAGATTTACTCTGTCTCCACACTTTCGGTAGAAGTGAGCCTGCAGAAGCTTTGAACATTTTGGTTCCACTTGTGTGCAGTTTTCATTCATGAGTATATAATAGTTGCTGCTTTATAAATCGTTTGTATTTCCTAGATGAATAATAGTCATAGTGACCGAATTGGAACCCAAAACACATCACATTCCAAGCAAATAATTAGAACCTAGAGATGACTATCTCCATGTTATGCCGTTGACATTGCAGATGAGCGTCTGATCTCCTCTAATGAAGTATATAGGGTTTGTGATGTTGGTTAGGTCTACACACATGCACACACCTGTTAGAAGTATTATCAATTGCAAATGCAAGCAACACTTTAATTTTATTATATAAAAATGATAATTTTGTGAAGAATGCTTATGTGTAAAATAGATTGAAGCCCAACCTACAGACATTACAAATGAGTATTAACTCCTTGCTTTAAAATAGATGGAAGCAACACTTTAAAGCGTTTTATTGGCCACTTAATATACTAAGAGAGGGAAGGAAATGCTAACATGGCAAATTAAAGCTTCTTCCTTTGCCATTTTTTTTTAATGCAAAACAGCACAAGAAGATGAACTATGAGTTATTGCCGTGTGTTTTAATCCACGATGCTGCTGCTGGATCTCAGCATTTACTTTTTCTCTGTAATGTATGAACTAGAGAGGTCAGATATGTACCGGGAACTAATTTTTTCGTGTCTTATGGTTTAAACTGATAGTCTGATGCTAGTATTAAACTTGTAATTCACATCACCATAGGATTACTGTGTATATAAGGACAAAGATGCTATGTTTGATTATGCCATGTCTGATTATCACTGTGATTTGAAATTGTTTATTCTTTCATTGATTTTTGGATGATGGAGAAAGTACTGGTGAATGTGGGAAGAGTTGCAGCTGTACTAAGAAATATATTATCGTACCAATTTCAGGAACGTTATATACATTGAATATTAAGATGAAGGGAATAGTTTGTGGGGATGAAGTTTTAGACTAATTGGTGCAAGTGAAAGGAAATAGTGAAATGGAGCATGACAAGTAAACCTTCCTTATATCGTTCAATTATGCAGAGAGAGCTTTGTTTCAGTTGGCAATGGCATAATCTGTATAGAACAACATTTATGTGAATTTCTTGTCTTTTTTTTTTTTTTTAACTGCAAATTCACTTTCTCAATCTCAACACTATTGGTAGAAGTGAGCCTCCCAAGAGCTTTCAACATTTTGGTTCCACTTGCGTGCAGTTTTCATTGATGAGTAGATACAATCTATTAGTTGCTGCTATATTAAATCATTTGGTTTTCTTAGATGAATAGAAGCCAGAGCGACCTACTTGGAGCCCAAGAGACATCACATTCCAAGCAAATATATTGAACCTAGAGATGAGGATTTTCATGTCATGCTGCGAACATTGCAGATGATCATTATCCTTAACACGTGACTTGTAGCAGGATGATTATCCTTAACACTAACATGACACTTAAATTTCTTAATTTTTTTTTCAGGGGCATTTAAGACAATTCATATTTTTAAAATTCAAAGCAAGTACCATGGTCTATAATTGAAATTTTAATATTTTATGATCCTTAATTAAAATTAATGATTTTAGAGGGTCTTTAATTGTTATTTTTCCTTCACTCCTCTACACTTTCGATTGAAGCGAGCCAGCAAAAGCTTTGAACATTTTGGTTCCACTTGTGTGCATTTTTTTTTTGAATTGGAGGTCACAAATAAACCGTGCTAATTGACAAGATGAGTCATGTCAGCGTATAAGATATTACAACAACCAGGCGGCGGGATATCGAAGATACGAATACAAAAATTGTCAGTGTAAGCTTGATGAGACAACCAATCGGCACATCTGTTTGCCTCCCTGAAAGTGTGGTCGAACGTGATTGTCCAATCTCGCATAGTGAGGTCTCTGATTCTATTAATGATAGCAGTGAGTGGATGAGTAGTAGAGAACTCATTGTGGATTAACAAGAGAGCTTCTGTAGAGTCAGTGTAGACAATAACTTTCTCGAACTTCTCCGCCCAGCAAATGTTTAAACCTTCCAAGATGCTCATAAGTTCGGTAGCTGTACTTGGGTAATAACCAAGGTATCTGGAATAACCTTTGATCCAATTTCCTTGGCTATTTCGGATAAGACCCCCGCATTTGGCTGCACCATGAATGTTGACAGAGCCATTAGTATCCAATCTAACCCAACCTTCTTCAGGAGCAGTCCATCTAGTTGTTGCTCTATCACCCTTCTGAGTTATGAAGTTAATTTTATTTTGAAGATATTGGTCTCTGAGAACATCTTGGATGCTGGTGAAGGCAATGTCTCTGTCACAGTTGTCTTCTTCTAAATGTAAGATTTTGCACCTCTCTTTCCAAATATTCCAATACACGTGCATTTTTCATTTGAGTATATATAATGCTTGCTGCTTTATAAATCGTTTGTGTTTCCTGGATAAATAAAAGTCAACGACATCACATTCCGAGCAAATAAATTAAACCTAGAGATGTCATGCTGCTGACATTACAGATAAGCGTTTGATCTTCTCCAACGAAGTATATAGGGTTCGTGATGTTGTTCAGGCATGCACACACGCACACACAGGCCTGTTAGAAATATTTTCAATTGCAAAAGGAAGCAACACTTTAATTTCATTATGTAAAAATGATAATTTTGTGAAGAATGCTTATTTGTAAATAGATTGAAGCCCAACCTACAAACATTATGAATGAGTATTAACTTTTTTTCTCCATGCGTATCAAATGTAAGTTTTATCAGCAATATATGAATTTGGAGAAAGTTATAGCAATTCCTGTTTTTTTTTTTTGGTTAAACAGTAATCGTAATTCAAAATTAATAGGAAGGCATAATATTGGCAATGAGAAGTAGAAGATTCGTTGGGAAAACAAACTGGAAGAAGTTTTCCATCTTGAAAAAAAAAAAGAAAAACTAAATTCCTAAGGTGTATAAAAATATGAGGATCTACTTAAACTAGACCGAATACACAAATTATAAGGATTTTTTCATTTTTTATTTTTGTTATAAGCAAATTTTAATTTCTACCTTAAAAAAATTTAAACTTTTAGGCAACACAACACCATAATACATGATGAAATGAACGAGATAGATCTTGATAATAACATCAACATGAACAACAAAGTTCAGCAGTTGGTTCAATAGCAAAGGCATCATAATTTAGAGTTGATTCAAATAAAATACAAATTATGAGATATAAAAGGGAAAAGGGATTAATTAATGTTCATTTAAAATATACAAGCCCCGAATAATTTCGGTTACTAAAAAGTTTCCAATTCTTAAACTCAATTTAAAAATTTTTGGAGTTATTCAAGGTCCAATTTGACCTAAATTAATAGACTCAATTAAAAAAAACAAAAAACTTATGTACATTTAAAATATCTGTTTGTTGATTAGATCCAGATTTTGAATTTTTTTTTGAACGAAGATTTTTAATCTTTTATATATTATTTATTTTATTATTAATATTATTAATTATTAATATATTCTGGCCAAAAAGTATATAACTAATCAAATCATGGAAAATCAAATGCAATCGTCCCGTCCGTTCCACCTCCACTCCATCATTCAGTCCTCTTCTTATCGGTGGGAATACTGTAATCCCTAATTCCCTCCGGCAAGCAGATGGCAGTTGGAGGCGATAATCCCTTTCTGCCCCCCGAGATGATCATAGAGATTCTCAAAAGGCTTCCTGTTAAATCCCTCATTCGATTTCAATCTGTGTGTAAATATTGGAAGAATCTCTTCAAAACCCCGTATTTCATCGCGAAGCACTACCACTACTTTGCTCACCAAAACCCTCTTCTTATCTTCCATGCATTCGGCTGCAACCATAGATTTGCACCCTTATCTTTGCTTCGTTATAAGATGGACAATCTGGAAGTTCAGAGAATGCCCGCGATGGATTCCTTAACGCTTGTTTGTGGCATCATTGGTTCCTGCAATGGCTTGCTTTGTGTGCTACTCGATTATAACGAGTATGGGTCTCCTCCTTCGCTTTTGTTGTTGAACCCAGTGACTAGAGAGACAAGAAAAGTACCCAGAACAACACATGATGATGGCAGCTATGGCGTTTTTGGATGGGGATTTGGGTTCAGTCCTGTAGATAAGGATTACAGGATAGTGAGAATTCATAATGCTAAGTTTTATATTTATAATATTCAAATCAAGTTTGACAATTTCTATGTTGGTGGAGTGGAGGTGTATTCATTAAGAACTGGGTCATGGAAAGAAGTAGAATTTGGGGTTATAAAGAGCGTAAGACTTCAATCAAAACTTGTCACTGCTAATGGTCTATTTTTTGGTTGGGATTGGAGGGTGGAGATCATCGCCCTAAGATAGTTTCGTTTGACCCAGCAATGGAAGTGTTTACGTTGATACCAATACCTTCTTCAATCTCTGATGATAGTACTTATCTAAGTGAGCTTAATTTGTATGAGAACCAACTTGCTATGTGATGTAAAACACACACTCACATTAATTTGAACAGAATAGGATGAGGAAGAAGAAATAGAATCAGAGAGTGAGCGGTGAAGGGGGAGCAAAAACAGAGGGGAGAGATGATAGAAAATAGAGAAAGCAGGGGAAGAGGAGTGGAATGCAGAACTGATAGATGGGGGAGTAAAAGGAGAGAGACGCAGAGCTGAGAAACATTCACAAAATTCAGCAATTCATTCATTCAAAATATAAGAACTTCTTTACATATGCTGCATGGTGGCTTTTTATAAAAGCCACAATTAAGTTTTCCTTCTTATGCAGGAAATATAAAATGAAATAAATATAAGCTTGAGGTTTTCTTCCCTATAAGGAAAGCTCAACTTGCAGATTTAAAATATATAAGGAGTAAAAAAACAAAAGCAGGTCAGGTTTCCTTCCTTAGAAGGAAACTTACAAAATACTAAATAATGCAAAAACAATTATTTCTTTCTAGAATAACATTTGCCATATTTTCTATCAATTCTCCCCTTCTATAAAGAACTCTCCTCCGGAGAGGTAGAGAGTTGATAGGCTTCTAGCAAGGCAGGATTAAGTTGTTGAAATTCATCTTCTGAAATTTAGGTGGCATCTTCATCAGATTGACTTCTCTAATGAACCAAATAACGATGGATGGGCCCCTCAGAGGTAAAGACCATTTGATCATCCATAATGGTCTCGATTTCATCAATTGATGGTGAGACAGCAGGCAATGATAGAATTGGCACTTGTGACGGCTGAGTACCTGTAAAATCATCAGAAAGAAAAGGGGGAGGCTTAAAAGTTCCCTGATAAGGCATAAGATCCTCTACATTAAAAACTAGACTAATGGCCATATCAGAAGGTAGTTCTAAAAGATAAGCATTAGGTCCTAATTTCTTTGTTATGCAAAAAGGTCTCGCAGCTCGAGCATACAACTTTTTAAAAGTGTGTTTAGGGTAACATTCTGGACGAATGCGAGCCATAACATAATCACCTATTTCAAAGCTTTGAAATTGGTGATGAGTATTAGCAGATAATTTATATTGATCATTACTCATTGTTAATTTGTGCCTAGTTTCAGCATGTAATTCATGAAGGCGATTGGCGAAAGATTCCACAGATTCAGAGACGCAAAATGTCATTAGAATGATGATTGGTAAACTCATGAGGAAATGTTCTACTGTGTCTTTCACCCATAGCTCTAGGGGAATGACCAATCCTAAGGGAATTACCTCTAAGTTGATTGCGGACTGGGAATTGTTCATTTTTAAGACTTGACTCTCCTCTAATGGTAGGTCTTTCGAGTATCCCTTCAGTTGTTTTCCCTGTATCTTGTCTGTATGTCAACGGAATTGCACCCATTATCTCTTCAAATTTATTATCCATGAATTCTTTAATTTCATCTAGCTGCTGGTCCACATATGTCCATTATCTCTTCAAATTTAATGACATAGATGATACTTGGGATGGGCAAGGGCCTGAAGAACAACATCATAGACCATACCAGTTAGTCCATAGGAATGGTAGAGAAGGCCTTAGAAGGACACATATTGATGACATCACCAAAAAGGTTAAAGTTGAAGCTCCCGAGTTTGATGGACGATTGAATCCTAGTGCATTCCTGGATTGGTTAGCCAGTATGGAAGATTATTTTGAATGGTATAACATGAGAGATATTCAGCGAGTTCAGTTTACGAAGATGAAGCTCGTGGGATCTGCTAGGAAATACTAGAAAAATGTCCAAAGGAATATTGAGGGACAAGGTTATCCACCGATTGAGACGTGGGATGAAATGAAGGCCAAGCTAAAAGAAAAATATGTGCCGACTCATTATATATGACAAATACCTTAATTTGAGGCAAATCTCTATAGCTTTCGAGTATATTTCTCAATTCAATGACCTTATGATTAGATGTGATGTGGATGAAGAGGAATGGCGCACCATTACCAAGTTTGTTAATGGTCTCAAGCCATATATATAGAAGGAGCTCAAGTTAAACTTTCTAGAGTCTCTTGAAGAAGCTTATCATAAGACTTTGGAAGTAGAGTCTCTGTCACAGTACTCGTTTGCAAAGCGTATCGACATGCAGAGTAATCAGTTTAGACAAGCACGAACTTCTAGTCTGTCTGAACGACCAACAGGAGTACTTACATCTAGGCCTGGCTCGTCTTTTACACCTACTCAAGCAATTGGGTTAAGGGTTAACACTTCTAAGCAGCCTAGTGAGGCTATAGTTCCTGCTTCCTGCCATAACAATTCCTTTGTCAAGTGTTTTCGCTGTCACTCAAAGGGTCATATTGTGTCAAAATGCCCACAGCGTACTCTAGCTATTGACTCACAATATGAAGGTGAGGAAGATAATGCAAATGCTAACATTATCGTAGATCCAGTTGAGTGTCCTTCAGATGTCGATGAGGACATAATCATTGATGAATATGGGTGTGAGACACGTCGAGTTGGAGTTATGCGATGCATTCTATCTGTCCCTCTGCCTAGTGATTCATGGAAGCGAACAAGTATTTTCCATACTTTTGTAAAGTGTGGAGATAAAGCTTGCAAATTGGTGATTGATAAAGGGAGTTCTAGAAACGTTATTTCTAGTCAAGGAGTAGCCCAACTCAATCTCAAGATAGAACCTCACCCAGAACCTTTTCGTATTGCATGGGTCGACAAAACTTCTTTACTAGTCATCCAATAATGTCGCGTTCCTCTTCACTTAGGTGACTATAAAGAAGAGATTATTTGTGATGTTCTTCCAATAGATGTTACTCACATTTTACTTGGTCGACCGTGGCTTTATGACCACAATGTTATCAATCATGGTCGTGAGAATACCTATACCTTTAAGCATGGAGGCAAGATGATCTTGTTACGTCCTGCTAAGCCTGACAACGAAGGCAAAGGCTCAAGTAAATCAAAGGGCACAAAACCCAAAACCCATAATTTGCATCTTCTGATAGAAAAACAATTATTTCTTTCTAGAATAACATTTGCCATATTTTCTATCACTATGCTTCATGGTCACTATGCTCATAAATCTTCTTTCATTGATTTATGGATGTTGGAAGAGGGTAGTGGTGCATTTGGGAAGAGTTTGGTTTAGACTAAGAAATATAGTATTGGACTAACTTCATGTTCATTATATCCAATATGCTTTTGGAGGAATGAAATAGTCTGCCAGAACTTTGAAAGTGAAAGGAATTGTATGTTGAAGGATTGCTCAGCTTTTCATCTGTTCAATCTCACTACTAATAATGAATTGAAGAAATTCCACATCTCTTTATCTACCAATAATTTGAATGGAACTTTCAACTATGCAGAGAGCCTTGTGTCTATTTGTGAGTTGTGACATCCATGTTGAATAGCCACAAAACCTTCAAACGTTTTGGTTTTGGCTAGAAGGCTTGATGCCCCTCTGATATGTTATCTAGAATAGAGAAATTCAGTTCTATCTGCTTCTAACTTTTATCTATGTCATCATATGTGGAGTTTTCCTTAACCTGTTTTTATTTTATTTTTATCATTACACACTTATCATTCCACACTTTTTTTTTAATTACATGAGAGCATATTGCAAAAGCAAAATGCTACTTCAAGGAAGTAGAGACTTGCATGTGCATCATGTCCTCATTTATTTACTCTTTTTTTCGTATGAAGATGGAACAATATATTAACTTTTGTTCAGACTTGCAACATTCAATACGAAGCTTCCTAATCTTAGGAAAAATGTTCTGATGAGCTATATGAACAGGACTTATTCCTTTAATAACATCTAAATAACTACATCAAGTATTATATATATAGGCACACATTACTGTAAAGTGATGCAATTTTATTGTGTGGTGAAATTAGGTACAGCTCTGAATGCCAGAAACGCAGCTTTCATTCTTCCATCTTGGTTGGTACACATGTATGTCATAAGCTGAAGTACTTGATCTTGAAACCAGATACTGATTTTCGTTTGTAATTTTCTTGTTCTTTTATTTTTCTGAAGTTGTTAGCCTGTATTTACTAAGTTTTATTGTCTCTTGTGAGATTATGTTGAACCATCATATGTTTCTCCTTAAAACCTAATGGCCAAGGATATTGGCCCTTGTACATGGTCCAATTGCTCTTCATTGTGCTTCCAATATAGTTTTGTGTTCAGATCAAATTTTAACCATATAGATTAATTGTGCTTTGAAAAACTATAAATTTTGAACCATAAAATAAAATCTTTTAACATTTTTGCTGTATCTATAATCCCTGATGCCCTTTAGATCTATGATCTGGAATGGAGAAATTCAGTTCAGTACTAGTTGCAAACTGTATATTAGCTCTCTATGTCATCATATGTTCAGTACTAGTTGCAAACTGTAGATTAGCCGGCTATATAATTTAGTATGCTAAGAGGGAAGGAAAGGCTAACATGACATATTAAAGCTTCTTGCTTTGTCATTTTTTTTATCTAAATGAAATGGATTGATAGGTTTGATACGCAACATAAGAGAGTGAACTATATTTAAGTTATTGCTATGTGTTTGGATCCAAAGATGTTGCTGCTGGATCTCAAAATTCACTTTTGCTCTGTAATGTAATTACAAAGGTCAGATTTGAAGACTAATTTTTCTGTCTTATGGTTTAAACTAGTACCAATATTTACTTAAACCTGTAGATCACATCACTATAGGTGTATACTGTGTCTAACGAAGATGCTATGTTCTATTTGATCTTTGTGATCGGACACTTTGATTGAATAATGGGGTAATGGAGAAGGGTGCTGGTGAATGTGTGAAGAGTTTCAGCTCTACTAAGAACGAATGAACGAACGAACCAAAAAAGATGTGAACGCACCCAGAGCAGAGGAAGGGTGCAGAGGCGAAGAAGAGAACCCTCGATTATTATT